GTACATGATCACAATTGTGATTGCACAGAAAGTGGAAGTTGCTGCTGCTCCTCTGTCCACAGGAGTGCCTGTCTGCATCCCTATGCTACTGTACTGAGTCATACTTTTCAAGATGTATCTAGCAACTTTGCTGCTTCAAAAATTAGATTAAAGAGTAAGACTTGCACAAAAGAATAATACATTACACTTTTTTAAATCTACAGAAATATTATTTTTTTTTTAATGAGAGAATGATTAGGAACTAAATTCATTTTCCTTGGCGTAACCAATTCATTTATAAAGTATTGTTAGAGAGGGAGGTGTACATATGTATATAATGTGTTAGCGTACGATATGCTATATGTATACATTTGCCTTTTGTAATATTTTAAAGAGAAATATGCTTTTCAAATTGTGTTATTTATGTTTTTATATATTTGGTATAATAGTCACATGTGATTTCTTGTGTCTGCTAACCATTGACCAAATCTGTTCCCCTTGGAGGTGAAACAGACCGTCATTGATAGTAGTTATAGAGGATTTGCTGTTAATAAAGTGGTACATCATAGTCCTCTCTGTTTCCAACTCGTCTACTAAATTCCTGCTTTAAAAAATTGTGTATCTCCACCAGCAGTGACAAAGCACTGTCCAAGTTTCTGACCCTAATGAAATGGATGAGAAGGTAAACTATGCATCAGTGAGAAATAGTAAAGCACAAAGTAATTGTGTTGAATTATTCATATGTCTTTCCCAGGTTATTCTGCTGCACCTCCAACTTGCTTTTTCTTTTGTGGAAATTTTTCATCTGCGCCATATGGGAATAATCAGATTCAGTCACTAAAATGTATGTAAGTCTGTAAGCATATTTACTGCTAATTAAAGTGGGCAACATATTAATGATGAAAGCATTTTAATAGTGAAAAAAATATTTTATGTTTTTAAAAGTGACAGAAATTTGACATGTTAAAAGTTTTGGCTAGTAAATGGAAAGTGTAAACCTATTGTCCAGCCAGGTACAATCTCCTTAAAAAAAAAACCTCTGCATTTTTTTTTCTGACTCTAGGTTCCCTGAAGACTCTTGCAGACATAATTTGTGAATATCCCAACATTCATAAAAGGTAGGTGTCCAACTCTTGTGTAACAATAATGTTTGCTGTGTGAAAAATTTTAACAGAATAGTTGTGTTTCCGGCTTTCAAAGATTAAAGACAGCAAGTTTCTGACATGGTATAGGCTATCTGTGATCATGGAGTCTTCCATGCCTTGAAACAAGGCCATATCATTATTTTGGAAGTGTATAAGGTTTTGACTGAGCCTCTAACGGCTTTTTACAGTGATTGACTGTTTGAATAAAAGTGAAACCAATTCTCTATCTCTGGACTTTTTCTCTAGGAACAGTCATGGGAATTAACTAGTTATAACGAGTTATAAAGTTAAAGAAACAGCTAACTTTTAACTTTAACTAGTTAAATTTTTTAGGTGTCAACTTTAACTAGTTTAAAAAAAAAGGTTAACTTTAACTTTTTTTAAAGTATAAGTTAAAAGTTTAAAAAATTGAAATCTGGCTTTCCCAGAGTTTTTCCTGACCCAGCCACTCTCCAAGATTTACACGGAACGATATTTCTTTATTGAAACTCTAGGACTTCTTGTTTGAGAGGCAGAGAGTAGTGTGCCTTCCTATGAGAGATGGTCTCTTAAGAACTACAAGTCCCAGAGTTCCTTAGTTCATGCTAAAAGCTAGAACTCTTGGTTCCAAAATGATACCTTTTATTATACCAACTGGAAAATGGCAAGAAAATTGTCCTTTTCTGCAAGCTTTCGGGATCAAAGTCCCTTTGTCAGGCTCTGGGAAAAGTGTAGATGGTACAAAATGGTAAAAAGTCCCCATAGGTAGGAAATAAACTTCATTTTTGCACAGAGGGAGCTGAAGATGGAAGTCTGTCCCTCTGGGTCCATGAGAGTGTCTTTGTGAGCTGTGTTGAGTAGCTCTTTAGTTCATGCTGGCATTTTCTGTGCATTTGCAGAAGTCAACAGGGCAGCTAGTTGGCTGCAGGAGAGGGAACAAGCACAAACAAGCGGAGACATTAATCCCAGTATGAGTGGGAGCAAGTAGTGAAGGTGAAGCAGATGATGACTTTTTAATTTTAATGAAGATCAGAACCAACAGTCCAGGGCCCAAGAAGTTGAGCATTACTTCTTAGCTGTGACAGAGGTGTAGGTTGTAGCTGTGTTGATCTAAGGATATAGGCAGACAAGGTTCTTTGGGTGAATCTGATATCTTTTATTAGACCAACTTAAATCACTGGAAAACAATTTTTAAGCAAGCTTTCGGGTTCAAAAACCCTTCATCAGGCTAAGGAAGTCTCTGCAGCTGGTGCGTGCTCTTCCTGGATGGAGTGAAAAGTAAAGAAGCGAGAGGCTGGGCTGGTGTGCATGCAAGACAGGCAGGCGGTGAAGCTGTAGACTGAGGAGTCAGTGGGTGAGAGAGGCTGGGGGGGGGACGGAGAGGGAGAGAGAAGGGGGATGAATAGTGGAGAAGTACCTGGGGAGTCAGATGTCAGGCAGGTTATAACGTGTCATAAATTCAATGTCTATATTTAGTCCATGATTTTTAGTGTCCAGGAGGTTGATGAAGTGGAGTTCATAGGTTTGTCTCTGGGAAGTGTTTGGTAAATTTCTTTTGAGGGTCAGGACTGAGAGATTAGAGAGAGAGTGGCTTTCTTGTGAGAAATGTGCCCCACAAATCATTGGGTATTCCTGTCTTTGATAGATTTCCGGTGTGCGTTCATTCTGGTGTTTGGTCTCCTACGTATTTTCCATCAGGGCATTTGATGCATTGGATGAGGTATATCACATTTCTGGAGGTGCAGCTGTAAGATCCGGGAATGCTGATGGCTCTGTTGTGGGGTGTAGTAATTGTGTGGGTGGCGGAGCTGTGTTGGCAGGTTTTGTATTTCTTGTCATGGCATGCTCTGGATCCATTTGGTGTGCTCTGGGTCTGAGGAAGTTTGCTTCTGGTGATGAGGTTAGCGAGGTTTGGTGCTTGTTTGAAGGCTAGGATGGGTGGCTCTGGGAAGATCTCTTTTAGAAAGAGACCCTATTCTTGTATGGGTTGCAGTTGAGGATTTTCCGTATGGGTTTGAGGGAGGGGTGATATGTCATAACCAGCAGTGTGCGATTTTGTAGTGGGTTTTATTCTGTACTGCAGCAATTCTTCAGAGACGAGCCTATGAACTCCACTTCATCAACCTCCTGGATACTAAAAATCATGGACTAAACATAGACATTGGATTTATGACACGTTGTAACCTGCCTGACATCTAACTCCCCAGGTACTTCTCCACTATTCATCCACTCCCACCCATTGACTTCTCACTCTACATCTTCACTGCTTGCCCAGTTTGTATGCATGCCAGCCCAGCCTCTGGCTTCTTTACTTTTCATTCCATCCAGGAAGAGCACGCACCAATTGCAGAAACTTCTTAGCCTGACAAAGGGTTTTTTAACCCGAAAGCTTGCTTAAAAATTGTTTTCCAACTATTTAAGTTGGTCTAATAAAAGATATCAGAGTCGCCCAAAGAACCTTGTCTGCCTGTTCTCATCTGTGAGACAATTACCTGAGATGTCACCTACTATGAAAAAACTATTCATCTGTTATAACACAAGCATTCCCTAATCTGCCCATGTAGAGCGATTGTTCAGTAGTGGGGCTTAGCTTTGCAAGACAGAAGAGGAAAATTGTTAGATGTAAATTTTGAAATGCAGCTTTTGCTGAAGTGCAATAAGCATGTTTAAACGCTTTCTGCTATGCAACTGAACATCCTTTCTCATTTAAACTGATTTTCTCATTTCAGTCTAATTTTGATGTTCAGACACTTTCATTATTTCTAATTCAGATGTAGTTCATACCCTTTTGTTACCTTTTTGAGCAAGAAAAATTGTAACAACAGAGGTTTTCGTGGTAAGTTTTTATTTGTCACCTGGCTGTGAATATCTCCTTTCTGTTGTTCTGGTATACCTATATGATGCATTGACTGTTACAAAGTACTTCACATAGAGAGGGGTGAGAAGGATGTAACATTACATAGGTATTGGTAAATTGTTATTCTGAAAACTGAGAGACAAGTATAACATTGTTTTCAGATAAAGCAGGGCGAGTTCCAAGCAAATTAGTGGGCTTCTGTGTGCTTATGGAAAAGAAACCCACTCATTGTATTTGAAAATGTAAAGTGATGCTGAGAGGCAATTCACCGTGTTTTTCACGCATTTCTCACCAATCAACTTTTAACTAGTTACTCTCTTTTTAACTTACCTTTTAATTAGTTGAAAGTGGAAATATTTAACTTTTAACTTTAACTTAAGTTAATTTTAAAGGCTGCTAACTTTTAACTTTAACCAGTTATATTTTTCATAAACTTTTTTCCCATGACTGTCTAGGAGTTCTGCTTCCTTCACACCTTCCTTGAAAGCAATGGGGGCTGCTCATACAAATTCTTTGCAAGACCTGGGGCCTTTTATAAATGAAAACATACATATATTCCATGAAAGTAACTGAAGGCCTTCAAGCTGTGTAAACCCCACAAAGATTCAGAAATACTGTCTGATACAGAATTACCTCCTCCTCCACCGTTCTTCCCAGCCACTAGTCAAATAAAAGGGAAGACATGCTGTAAATGACCTTTCTGCAGTGTTCTTGTTTCTCAGGCCTGTCAAAGCCTCCTTCCCTGGTAGTAGAGCTATATGCCCTCTTTACATAGGTTTGAGGGTCTGGAGGGCAGAGTTGTGGGGGAGATGCTCTGAGTTGGTAGCATGAATCTCCAAGTGCCTGGAGCTGCTCACCAGAATAGTGTGCCATGGCATGACATAAATTGAGCAGCTTTGTGGGTTACTTCACAGTATGTTGCCTGTACTTGCATCATTGCAGATGAGTGTAATAAATAGAACATTTGCCTTGACTGTTTACAGCAGCCGATTTGTGTTCATTCCTGGCCCTGAAGATCCTGGTCCTGGTCCTATTTTACCACGGTAATTCGCCTTATTATAGTTTTAAACATTTTGAGACTTTCTGTGTCTAGTAAAAAAACTGGTAGGGTAAACACGTCCTCTATAGTCAATCTGTTGCTGTTTATTTAGGCCACCGCTAGCAGAATGCATCACTCAGGAATTCAAGGAGCTGGTGCCATTTTCAGTTTTCACTACAAATCCTTGCAGGTAAGCATGTAACTTTGATATTAACCATAGAAAGCAAAACAGTTACTGCTTAACTGAGTGACCAGTTTAAGTGCAGAAGTAACATTCTTAAAATATGTGCTGAAATTTTAAACTGTTAGCTAGCTACAACAAAAATATTGGGGAGTTAAAGTTTTAAACATATTATTAGTAAAATAAACACTACCTAGAAACTGTTTCTACTTTATTCAGAAAAAGAGGAACCTAAACATACACTAACCAAAAAAAAGATCTCTGCAGGAATAGTATAAGAACACAAGATCCCTTCCTCTCCTAGTTCAGTAGCAGAACTCTTAAACAGAGGCTTCTCATATGGAACATGTCCATTTTTCTGTCTAGAGGAAGGGGAGATGGGAGAGGTCAGGGTGCGGAGGTAGTCTTTTCATTGTAATTTATCTAACGTTTTTGCTGCTCTAACTGATAAAGACAATGATTGTGCAATATTTGATCACACCTTTCATAAACTATCATTTCAATTTTCTAATGCCAGGAAAATTAATACTTAATTCAATATTATCTAATCAGGGTACAGTACTGCACACAAGAAATCATCATCTTTCGTGAAGATTTAGTAAACAAGATGTGCAGAAACTGTGTCCACTTTCCTAGCAGCAACTTGGATGTTCCTAACCATGTAAGTTAAACATATGTCCCACATTTATTTTTGAGATCACTCTGATTTACTGTATTTAACACAGGGACTATGAATTCCCATCCTTTGACCTACACCTTAATATAACAATACCTCCTAATAGTTAAAATATTTGGTGACTGAATGGTGTTGTAAAGATGGTTCACTGCATATAATGGTACTATTGAATAAGAAATCTCTATAGTAAAATAACTAAACATTTTACCAGTAAAGTAACTGACAGTATGACAAGTTGTTTTTCACGTCCTTCTCTGAGTGGGTCCCAGTGGTGGGGCGCACATGCCCACGTACACAAATTCAGAACTTCCCAGCAGGCAGTATCTCTTAGTACACGTTGCCAGGGAAGTCTGGCTCCTAAATGAAAGGTTTAGCACAGTTTGTCCTCCTGTACTTTGACCAATTTATCAGTGACATTTGCAATAGAGCAATATGTGCATTTCTCTAAAGGTCACTTCTTTCTACTTCTTCTCCACTGAAAGTCTTAATCCTTTCTGTGACATAACCCCAGAGCAATCAATTGTGAGGTCTCGATTTACGATTCCAATTTAGTGAACGATCTGATGGAACATGTTCTTCTAATCATATCAGAAATGTTTCATGAATCGTATTGTGCCTGAAGGACTATGTAGGCTGCTGTTTTGTCTCCAAAGCCCATGAGGGACTGATGCAACACCCAGCTCTGGGGTATTTGGAGATCAGAGTGTTGACTGAGCCTGCATAGTCATTTTTGGGTCATAGGTACTGAAAACTTGCACATTTTCCTCTCTGTTTGCTTTGAGGCTTCTCCCTCACTGCCATGCATATCAGTGGAGCTTTTGTCAACAGAATCCATTCAGAGGCACAAATGTACACGTTTTCATTTTCTATATCCATGATAAGCATGTCTTTCTCCCTTCTGTTATATGTATTGGCAGAGATGCTTTTTGCATTACAGAGCACAATGCTTACCTTTAAGACCGGGGGCATTTTGCTGCAGTCTTAGTGCTGTCCACCTTTTCTGTCCGTGTCATTTCAGAAATGTAAATTACGTTTGTGTCCATGCAAAAGAAATGATTGGGAGGAAAGATCCTTGCCCTTGACACTGTAGACCAGAGGCTTCCAACCTGTGGTCCATGGACTCTGTGGGGGTCCACAGACTATGCCCAAGTGGTCTGTGAAAGACGACTATAAAAAATGAAAAGTATATGAATACCCACACTTACAATTCAAAGGCACCTGCACCTCCATTTAAAATTTTCTAGGGGTCAGCAAATTAAAAAAGCTTGAAAACCTTTTGGCACCTTCAGGTCTTGTGCAATGTTCTTGAAACTGTTGAGTCACTTGTAAAGTGCAATTCTTCCTTTAATAGTGCAGCTGGTGGGTGCTGTGTCACTGGGTGGCTGGTCCTAAAATGAGGAATTGGGCTCAACCTCACCTGTGATTGATTGACCTATGACAGGAAGTGACTCCGTTGGGAGACAGCTGCAGGGGCAGGAGGCCCTGGATCAGATGCATGAAGTAGGTTGATTCCAGTGGCAGACCTCCCAGCAGAGTGATTCTCACATAAGTGGCCAGGAGAATGGCAACTTGTAAGGAACTAGGTTCCTACGGAAGGATAAGAGACTAGGTTTATATGTAGAATTTATGTTAAACTATTTTCTTGTTAAAGAAAGCTGAAGCCCTGAGAGAGAGGGCCTGGACCAATATCTGGGTGTAGTATCAATTCTTTCTGAGCCAACGAGATGGCCAGCAGCCTTACAACGTCCTTCAGACATCGTGTGATCCACAAAGTGGCTGTGGCGTTATTTTACTAACAAGGCTTCACACCAGAAATAAGCATGAGACCGCTTTTGAAATGCATGTGCTATTTACTGCTGGTATTATTAGTTAATAAATAGGGAGAACTCCAAGAAAACATCTCTTAAGTACAAAATTGCTTTTTATGGGAAACTGACACCTGCAGTTATTGCAGACACGAGTTTTGGTTTATAAAAATAGTCCACACTAACTTCACTCCTTTTTTTTTTTTTGCCTTTGTAGTTTGTAAAGACTATCTTATCTCAAGGACACCTGACTCCACTTCCACTTTACGTCAGTCCTGTATATTGGGCTTATGACTATGCCTTGAGAGTGTATCCTGTGCCAGATATGGTTGTCATTGCAGACAAATATGACCCCTTCACTGTCAACAATGCTGACTGCATTTGCATAAATCCTGTAAGACTCTTTATGCTTTACCAAAATAGGTCATCATAACACTGTTGGCAGAGTGTGATATGAAATATCTTTTAAAATGAAATGTAATCAGTGAAATATTAAATATTAGGGGAACTTGAGTGCCTAACTATTACAAAAAGAAAGAGAGAGGTGGTAGTTACACTGTACCTTTTGTTATGTGCACAATAACTTCAGGAATCCTTGCTTTTTCATTACAGGGTTCTTTCCCAAAGAGCGGATTTTCATTCAAGGTGTTCTATCCCTCCAACAAAACAGTTGAAGACAGGTAAATATATCCAGTATATGACTTTATTATCACATAACACATCTGACCACTTCTGACTTCGATTCTATTCTAGAGGCAAGCAGGAATAGTCAGTGGTTACTCCAAAATGTAATATATCTGTGTATAGTCTCCTGAGGGAAAGGGAAGCAAAGGCTACTTTTTGGTTTCTGTGGCAGACATGCAACTCCCATTGAAACAAATAACAGTTGTGCATATGCATCCAAGGGCAAGAAATGGCCCTTTTTAACCACGGTGAATTTGTATTGATAGCGTGGTGTTTTATAAATAATAAACAAATATCTTTAAAATGTCTTATACCACAAATGTTCCAACATCTAGTGCACACTGTTTTATACATATGCAAGTTTATATGTACAGTCAGAGTTCTGAATGTCTAGAAGACAGATTTTACAAATTTTTAAAAAGGGATTAGGGTGATGGTTAGATATAACAATTCACAATTAAAAAGAAAAGGTACTGTGTACTTCCCGATACTCTACGTTCAAGAAAAAAATTATTTTTGGGGAATGATGTTATGTTGTGTTCCCTTATTTTAGTCAGGCAAGCTTTTGCACTTTACTGTGCTGTAATGATTTAGTTACATTGTTTCTTTATTGTAACTTGAGTGAATTACATCACAGTACGGTATAGTTCTTTCCACCATAATTTGGATCAGGATCACATCCACATTTTGCAGCGGGTTTGGTTTAGTTGCTTTAATTTCTAGTATTTTATATCTGTCTGTGAACTTTATAATCTAATAGTAATAGGAAATCATAGCACCAGTGAAATAAAAGCACTGTGTTTCTTGGAGTTTACATTTGCAATATCTACTATGTATTTAATTGCTCAAAATAAAAGCCTATAGAGAAATGTAAAAATTCCCCTTAAGTAGAACTCTGATTTTTGTTTAATAAGTTGCCATCTGATAATAGCATTCATGCAGAGATAGAAAATATCAAACCACCTGACAGTAAACAGGTTACATGTTTAAAAACTTAATGAAAGTTTTTAGGTATCAAAAACTGCAGGAGTAAGTAAATCTCTTTCTTCAAAACAGTGATATATTTGTTTTAAAAACCTAAGTGCTTCTTGTTTGTATTTTCAGCAAACTACAGGATCTTTGAAACTTCACTGACAAATGAAGCATTCTGTTCCAACATGCTGCAGTGCTATTTTTTTGTTGTTTTATATGGATTCATTTTATAATAATTTACATATTATTCTGTACTGAATGCCAGCATTTTTGTAAATAAATACTTACATAAAATAACTGTTTCATAGGAAAATTATGATTGATAGGATGCCATCTGAATTCATATAAACCAAAGGGGTGGCAGTTCACAGATTCAGAGACGTTAGGGGCTGGAAGTGACCTCTTGAGATCATGAGGTCCAGCCGCCCTGTGCTTGTGCAGGTAAGACTGCTGGGATCAGATCTTAGCAGAGGGCTGCTCTCTCCTCCCATACTGAAGCCTCACTGGATTAGCCACTCTGAAAGACTGGGAGAGGCAATCTAGAGCAGGGGTGGCCAGAGTTGCTCGCCCTGGGACACATCCGATCCTCCACTGAAGTTCAAGAGCCAGAGAGTAGGAGGGGGCGAAGGGAGGGATGCTGAGCGACCTGGCTTTGTTCCCCCCCTGCGCCTGCCAGCAGTCATTAGGCACTGGCAGCAGGATCAGACTCCTGCTGCCGCAGTGCAGAGCCACTCTGGCTTTCCCCATGGGGGGCGTGCTCCAGGGTAAGTGGTACGGCTGCAGCCTCTGCCCCAGCAGCCTCGCACCTGAGCCTGCAGTCCTGGAAGTGGGTGGGCTTCACCCTATTTCTGGAGAACCACAAGTACCATGCCAGCGCACAGTTTGGCCACTGTAGATTTAAAGGCTGCAGGGTCGTTAGCCCTTCTGCACAGACCAGGAACAAATTGAAGCAAAAATGTATCTGAAATAGATTTCATTTTCTATTCAATGTTTCACTCGGAATTAATGCGTCTAATGCAACATTATGTACGCTTTCAGTATTTTGCATGACTGTTTACAGAATATAAAATGTAATGGCATCAGTCCATTTTAATAGTTTTAAGTGTCAGAAACCAACTGTGACGCACTGATCTGAAAACCTTTATTTGTCCAGTATCTCTTTCTGCTATGGTATAACTTAGTACAGCTGAAGCACGTGGAAACTCCAGTCTTGGACCAGTACCATGGCATGCAAGCACCGTGCAAACAGAGTAACTGTCCTTGTCCTTAATACGAAAAGTGTACATGAGGGAGTAACAGAAGGCAATATTATTCTTGGTATGGGGGAGGTGGGATTGTGGTGAACCAGGAGCCTAACCTTTGTCAACTTTTACATAAAAATTACAGCAAGAGTGTGTTAGGGAAGCATCTGAAGAATGTGAGGGTGTTTTGCTAAGTGCCGTAAAAGCAACAGAGTAAGAAAGTCCTACCCAGCCTTCAATAGATTACAGTCTGAATAAGGAAATGAGATCATGCTGGGATGAGAGGTTTAGCTGCGTGGATAGAAAAGCAGCAGGGGTGTGTGAAGCAAGCTCAATTCGGATTCAGATTCGGCCCGAATCGGGGACAGCAGTTTGATTTGTTGATTCGGATCACTGTCCCCGATTCAATTCGGCCAAATCCAAATCTGAAGATTCGATTCCAATTCGGAGAATCAGCGATTCGGCCATAGGCACAGCTTTACATGTTTTTTCTACGTACCTCGAGGTACCGAGCACGGCTTGTGAACGCTGCGATGTCGGGGTGGATGGAGCATCCCATAGGAATGCGGGGGGAGGCAGCAAACCCGGAAGTAGTCCGGCAGTGTTTTTGTTCCTCTTCTGGGTCTGAGGCCGAGCACGCTGGGGCGCCCCCCGCACTTCTGTGGGATACTCCATGCGTAGAAAAAACATTTAAAGCCACATCTACATCTGAATCGCCAAATCTCTGAATCGATTCAGAGGGTTCCGATTCAACTCGGAGAGATTTGAATCTCTCTGATTCGATTCAGAGTCGGCCACTGAATCGGGGACTGAAGTTTCGCACAGCCCTAAAAAGCACTAAGAGACATTAGGCAAAAACAAACTGCAAGATTTAGAGGGAAGGTGGATGAGAGGACCAACGGAGAGGTCAGGGTTGAAGATGATGCCCAGGTTATAGGCTCCAAAAAAAGGCAGGGGATACGGTGGTGTCCACAGTCAGCAAGAAGGCAGTAGGGTAGGGTTGAAGAAGGAAGTTGAGGTGATCGCCAGACAGCCTTGAGATTTTTATTTTGGAGTTAGACTTGTATTCAGGAAATAGGTCAGAACGACCCCCCGTAGAACTGGGCGGGAGGGAGAGGAGAATCGGGAAAGGGTCTGAAAAGCCAAAGGAGACAAGGCTTCAAAGAGACGAGTACAGCTGATGCTACCAAAGGCGGCCAGCAGACGATGGAGGACGGCGCACTGTTTCTGAGACCTGTCAAATGCAAACACAGCTTCAGGAGCAAGGACAGTCAGGAAAGGAATCCCAGACGCGCTCAAAGAGCCTCGGCTGGAGGGCCAGAAGTGTCCGTGGGGTCCGGAGAGCAATTTAAAGAAGAGGAAGACAAACATAGGTGCATGGCGGAGCGCCAGAAAACAGGAAGAGGGCATGGAGAAGACAGACAAAAAACTGGCATGGGGATCGGGAGGGCAGGGTGCCGCTGCAACGAGGGGAGCAGGGAGCAGAGGAGACGGCCGATTGAGGAACCACGGTGTCTGGCGGTGCGGAGGAGGCAGACGGCCGTGCGTTTCCTCCGTACGTCGGAAGGAGTGGGGGGGATTGATCTTGCTACTAAGAAGAAAGACGGAGCGGGGGGCAGAGAGGGAAAACGACTCACGGTTGATTAACGAACGCTCAACCAGAAAACAAAATGAAAGGTCACTTGTCACGGAGTTTGCTTGAGAGGGAGCGCGGGGGTATCGACGTGGACCCCACCATGGAAAAAAGACAGGCGAGAAGAGGGAGCACATGGTGGTGGTTGCCAAGCTGGGCCCTGCAATGGAGAAGAGACAGGTGAGGAGAACGACAGTGACCTGCACCGGGAACTGAAAGGGAAGAGGACAGGGGTGGTTTTAATGACGTAAAACTAGGGATGTGCGTCTAAGACGCGTCCAGGCCGCTGACTGCGAAATACTGCTGACTGCTACTCACTGCGCCGGGGCCGGGCAAGGCCTCAGCGCGCCGCCGCCATCTTGTTTGGCCGGTCTCCATAGCGACCAGGTGTGTGTGTGGGGGGGGAGAGAGAGAGAGCGAGACTACTGGCGCCGCCATCTTGTTTGGCCGCTCTCCATAGCAACCAGACTGGGCGTAGCGGCGCCGCCGCCATCTTGCTTGGCCGGCCTCCACGGTGACATCTTGCCGGGCCGGTTTCCCCGGTAACCGGAGCAGCAGCGTCGCCATTTTGTTTGCGCCGTCTCCACGGCGACCGGAGCAGCGCAGCGCCGCCAGAGCGAGACTACTGGCGCCGCCATCTTGTTTGGCCGCTCTCCATAGCAACCAGACTGGGCGTAGCGGCGCCGCCGCCATCTTGCTTGGCCGGCCTCCACGGTGACATCTTGCCGGGCCGGTTTCCCCGGTAACCGGAGCAGCAGCGTCGCCATTTTGTTTGCGCCGTCTCCACGGCGACCGGAGCAGCGCAGCGCCGCCATCTTGTTGCTGCGGTTTCCCCAGTAACAGCGGCGCGGGCCGGCCGCACGGCGCGGACGATGGCGGGTGCGGGCGCGGAG